TTCCGCTCATGAAAGATGATCGATGTGTAATATGGTCCGGTCGTCGAAGAGTCTCAAGAGGACGGGAATGATGTCGACGCACGGAGATAACGTGACGATTGGCTCGTCGCCGCCGTATTATTTTCGCCACCCTAGAGAATCGGCAAAAGCGCAGGATGATCGTGTAACGTCGGGACAAAACGGTTAGTTTCTCTTCTTTTATTCTCTTTGAAATTCTTCGATTAATTACATTTAAACTTCTTTCGATTAAATACACATTGTAATTGTATTACACGTCCATTTATATGTCGAATGGATCTCCAATCGATATTTTTAGGCGAGACATTTTTAAGCTTCATGCAAAATTTAATTTTTAAGTAAAAGATCAACATTATATTTTTTTTAATCATCTAGTTGTTTTGTAAGTTTTGTCTCAGTTGATTAGAGCTGTTACTTTTAACAGCTTCGAAGATTTGAAATCATTTTGAATTTTCGGACTTAACTTCGAATCTTCGAAGTGTAAGATATTTCAATGGGTTTTTGAGTTTCAGAGTTATGTTTCGAAGCTTCGGAGTTACCTTAAACTTTAAAAGTTCGTAGTTAACTTCGAAGAATTAAATTCTTTCGAATCTTCATAGTTGTCAAAAGTAACAATTCTAATCTTTATCCTCTGAGACGTAAGCTTTCTCCATAATTTTTTAGAGCATTGACTCGCTCTGGTAAGAATATAATATTCTTCGATATTCTTCTTGGAGATTTCTTCGTTTATTATACGCATCTATTGGTCTAGTTTACATCGTGCACTTGATATGGGTACTAACTAATAATTTTCTATTGAATTATCTTAATTTCAGCGATACATGTAAATATATGCACGATATGTATATTTAATTAATCATTTTGATACATATTGTATCAATTTAGTACATCATTCTTTGAATACATTACTGAAATTAAAATAATTTATTAGAAAGCTACTAATTAATACACGTATCAAGTGCACTATGTAAACTAGACCATTATATGCGCATGAGATAATCTTCTGATCTTTTTAAAAATGATATATTTGATGAATTACTTGTTCATTGTTTTACACAGTGGACGACAAGCCTTCGGTAATTTTAACAATTGCGTCATCCAAGGGAAGATGCAAATACTGTGTTTACAGTCTTATTGGGATGTTGGTGATCTTGTTGTGCATTGTGATCGGTGTAATGCTGTTCCCATATCCTCTGCATGCTTCATGTATTGTTAAATGGTAATTACGCTCTATGTACACATCAACAGATTTGTGAGAATTGCGCTGCAGAAAAACGGATAATACTTTGACAAAGTTGAGGAAGTTACTTTGTAAGTTATTTTTTACATTATCTATGTGTTTGTTATAGAAATTCAGTACAAAAAGTACTCAATACAAAATTGAGCAAATAGTATAACCAAAAATAAAATACTCGAACTTGTACTCAATTTCTAATAATAAAAGGTAACTTATAAGTAACTTGTAAAGTAACTTTCCAAATCCTGTACTTTGACTAGATAATAACGCTTGTTATGCGTTCTTTTTAAATTCAGATAAGTTTTTTATGGAACTTTGACTACCAAGACAGAGTTTTCAATAAATACCAATGTTATAACTTCACATTTAACATTTAACCCTTACCGTACCATCTACAATTTGATGCCTCATCCATACCATCAAGGGTCACTTCAAATGTCTTCATTTTTTCACCTCTTCAAAATAATTTTAAAAATCTCTAAAAATTCACCAACATACTTCCAACTTTCTAGAATAAATATTGACTCTTTATTTTAGAAAATAATAAAATGTAGTATAATTTATAATTACCGAAAGACTCAAAGAACAGGAATCGCTCGGTCACTAGTTACCCATATTAGTACGGTAAGGACTAACTGTTACATATAATATGTATTATATTACATTTATAGTATTGAATGTGAAATTCTAACATTGATGTTATGTTATGTTCAGTTGGTATTTACTGGATCATCATGGTATTTACTGGATTGTCACGATTTTCGAAAAGTTAAAATTCCGAAATCGCAAGAAATAGCGTATAGCCAAATTTCGTCGTTTCTTCGCGAATAAGTGACGCGCCATTCGCCAAAAGCTATTCATCGATTATCAAACACTTCGCCGCAACAAAATAATGAGCAAAACGTCGGTATTTTTATGAACAGGTTCAAGAGCTTTTTGAACGGATTTACATTCCGCCACAGCTGCCGTTATCGGTTCCTTTTTTCTCTGAGCGCCGAGAGATCGGATCCCTTTCATCCTACGGCAATAGCTAATGCGAATGATCGTCGCGTCGTTTTTACGAGGACTAGAGCTTTCGAAAAGTTTCTTTTGAAGCAACGTCCACGCCGCTCCCGTGACGCGTTATATACACAGGGAAACTCAATATCGCCGGCGCGACGTGGAGCTCGTATATTTTGCTTTGGCCGGGACGACACCGCCCGAAAAATAAACGATCCGCGCTTTTCCGACTCCACGAGAACAGACGGCGTCGTACCGGGGTAGCTCGCTATTTTATTACTTTCGGTCGCTTCGAGTATCTTTTAAAATTAACATCAAGTAGGTACATAGAAACTTTAGAACCGATACGCTTCTTATATAAAAAAAAATATAATATATTTCTAACCAAAGAAAGATGAGTGCGCTTGAAAGGAAGAGCAGAAATAAATCGCAGTTTATAAAATCCTAAAACGCATTAGAAATTTGAGTGTGTAAAAGTATACAAAGATGAAACGATTCCTACGGAAATATTTTATCCAACTGAGTTATTTAAATACTTTTTAAAGATCACATTACTCTAGGAAGTTTGACGACCCGTGCGCGCATGTGATGCAAAAGTTCCGACGCCAGATAACGAATTGGTCTTCTTGGAACACTTGTCAACAGCGTGACGACACTTGTCAGTATACGGTAAGCGTAATATCTGATTTTTAAATGCAAATTAACTTTAACTTTTATCTCGCGCGACAGCTCAAGCTACCTGTGGAGAGCAACGTAATTCGAGCGACACACAGGACATCGAAGTCGCTCGAGAGGATCGAGATCATCTTCGAGGAGATAAATAACACGTGTTTCGCTAAGGTACACTTTTAATTGAACATAATAATTATTATACGAAAAATAATGAAAACACGAACGATATTACAATATGCGTCGAAAACAACATGAGATATCTCATTAATTTCGCATTAATGTTTACCCAGCAAGAAATGATTCATCGAATCAACGTCGATAATTTTGAAGTAAATTAAATGTCAATTCGATGTCTAATTGACGGTAATTTTTCGCTAAGTAATGAAAGTAGGAACGATATTACAATATGCGTCGAACAACATGAGATATCTCATTAATTTCGCATTAATTTTTACTCAGTGAGAAATGATTCATCGAATCAACATCGATATGATGATTTCGATGTCAATTAAATGTTGATTCGATATCTAATTGACAGTCATTTCTCACTGAGTAATGGCGCATTCTTTGATAAATTTTATATTAAAGAACGTATTAAATTTTTTCTTTAATAATTATATGTAAAACTCTAAAGTTTAAATTGCCGAATGTTAGACTAACAAAAATATTATTTATATGTAGGCTGAATCTGTTTCAAGCGATTGGTTCACAATATTTGATTACGGGGTAAATTATTGCAATCTGCACAACTTGGTTGTGGGAGCTAATCTCGACAGACACGCGAAATTTCAGGAGCTGACGAATGATGCTGCGTGTACGCAATTCAATATGGCAGTCTGTTGAAACACATACCGGTCACTTGTGGTTTTTCAAAACTTACATGTGTAAATTTATTTCAAAATTTATATATATGAATTATATATATTGCTATATATTATGCATATATAAAGTTTACTTATATTATAAAGTACACTTATATATTGTATAATTATATTTATTTAAATATATATAATTAATATACAATATAAATTGAGAAATAACCGTCAATTACATAAAAATTGAAAATATTTAAAAAATAAACTTAATATAAATATGATGTATATACTTATATGAAACTATATATGCATTATGTTTAGATTACATTAATTCTTCAAAATTTATATATATTTTCATAACATTCCAACGAGAGCCGGAAGAAGTTTGAAAAACCATAAGCTTTTTAATATTTATAATAAAAATTTATATTTATATTAATTTACAGAGTTTCGTATATAAGTGTTACAATCATTTATATCATAAGTTTTGTACTTCGATATATTCTTTCTTATAAAACAGTAGATTATACCTCGCTACAAATATTAAATATCGCTTACATTAAACACAGAATTAATTATTATTATTATCCGTTATTACGGAAAAGATAAGAGATTACGTATCTTCTTTAAATATGTATTGTACATTTATCACTGAGAGGAACGTATATTTCTATTAACTGATTAGACAAAAGATTTTAAATAAATTGTGAGATCTAATTGTACGAATAGTTAAAGCTTCAATTGTTGAAATAATTCGAACATGGAGAGAAATTCGAGCGAAAATAACATTCGTAAGGAGGAAACGTTCATTTTATTTTAGACTTCCGTAAAAAATCAAATTGAACAATTTAAACTGTTTGATTTTATTTTCAGGCTTGAATGGTCAGAGTTATTTAGAGTTTGATCTTGAAATTCATACTATTTAAACTGTGCTATTGAAAACAATTTTTATGGTTTTTTAATAGCACAGTTCTTAACTGTACAGGGTACGTCTCGATATAGAAATATACTTGAATCCCAACGATCAAATAATACAAGTCATATAAATTAATTTAATTAAAACACCTACCTAACTAAAACACTAAAATATATATATATTGAAAATATTATCAAATTTAAAGTGATCTTGAGATCACTATTATCATCGAAAGAACGTTATTTACAAAATCGCAAAATGTACATAAATTATTTATAACTATATTTAATTACTTATCCTTCCCAAAGTAATTATTTTTTTTCTCATGAACTTTTTTCTCGCATTACTTTCTTATTAAAATCGTATTAATTATTGTACTAATATTTTACATTATAATAAATAAATATTTACCCCAATTTTTAGCAATTATTATATAAACATTACTATTTTGCAATTATTAATCTTTTTTTCGATTAATCAAGATGCTCACTCAATGTACCGGAGTGGTGGTAACAGTAGTTATGTCCGGGTGAAACAAACGCTCGACATCTCCTGCCATTTCTCGTTATTCCCATACAAGGTATTTTCAGCATCGGAGTATTACTGAAAACATTCCTTAGTTATTTTACGATTTCCTCTTTTTTAAAATAATTTTTCATCTGACGACAATTATTTATTTACCTTCTAGTTCGCGGCAAACCCATGTGGTACCGCAAATGCTCAAACGACTTTCCTGTGTCGTTAAAATCATTTGTGTTATAATCGTTATAATCTGTGGAATAATTATCTTGATACTGCCATGACGTCACGCTGTCGATAGAAGAATCACATTCTATCGGACCTTTTGTTAGTGCAGACTGCAAGTGAATAATGTCCTCACGCTTCTTCCTCGACGGTTGATACGAACAAGAGAGCTCCTCATGCGCATTTAAATTTCGTCCACCCCACGAAGCGACTGCCTCTAACAAGACATTAAGTTTCCCTGGAAAAATTATCAGATGTTGTAATAATCATCAAACCATTTCTCTCGCTTAATTTCAGTCTTAAATAGAAGAAATACCTCTGAAATTATTTATTTGCGAAACGCTGAGATTGTACAGTTTTCGCACTTTACTCATTAATGTTGTGTTCAACTGCATTTTTGGTACGGAATTAGAATTCGACGAAGATGTGTTGTCATCAATTCCATTCGAATAGCCTTTTTGTTGATGAATCAGCTTTATTAACTTCGTTTTCGCTTCCGGGACGTTTGGTCCGATTATACGTTGTATTCCCAGCATTAAAAAATGCACTGCGTTAAAGAAATAAACGTCAAACGTCAATGTAATACACGGAAGTATTCGTATGCATTACACAATTACTGTCTCGTTTTCTATATTTCTTTTAGAAACATTTTATCACACGTTTTAATATATACTCACTTGCGGTGATCAAGAATATTAATACCGTTATAGATGTAAAATCTAAACAAGCTTCCATGCCCTGTTTCAAGTAGGTTACAAGATTCGCTGGTATAACACCCATGATAGTGGCTCTGGTTAAAAAAGGTGCTTGTAAAAACGCGGCGACTATCATCGCCACTAATAAATACATAAGGTGTAAAAATATGCGATATGCTCTTTGCATTTGTTCACCTAAAAATACAGAAACAATATATTGTATTATAAACATATTTCAATTTATCCTAATGTTTTTTTTTCAAACAAAAGTTTTTAACCTAACATGATCATATGTTACGTTATTAATTTAACAAAATTCATCAATTTTACACAATTGTTGAATTGGATCGGTTTCTTATAAAACAAATATATCTTATATCATACCAGTATCGCCGATGTAATCAGTAATCCACCCCAATTTTTGGTCTACTTCCGTGCGCATTGTATTAGTGAGATTCCAAATGTACTGAATAGTATCGTTAATTTGCGTGAGCATCTGCATCGTTTGCTCGTATTGGTGGATAGTTTCCTCATGTTGTTGTAACAAATGATTTGTGCTTTGTTCGATTTTCTCCCAGATCATTTGCGCTTGTTCTTGTATGGTAAACAAATCTTGCAATACCTCCTTATGATTTTCTCCACGTTCGGTAGCCTGTTGCTCGAGATCTTTATGTGCCTTTTCTGAAGAACATATTAAATATATTTAGAATTTCTACGTATAATAGTATAAAAAACCATGTATAAAAAGCTTGGTTTACTAACCTAATTTATTTTTTATTTCTTCCGTCATGGCAGTAAGCTGAGCGTGGCCAGATCGTATTAATGCTTTTTCATTATACAACTCTCTTAGGTTTGTTGTTACAAGACTGTGAGCTGTTGCCTGAGCATCCTTCAAGTTTTCTTGTTGTGACAAAAGTAGCTTGTTTTTTTCAGTTAACGATAATAGAGCTTCCGTTGTTTGTTCTTCCAAACGATCTTGACCGTGCTATTTAATACAATTAATATAATGCCTCAGTTAAAGAATGAATTAAGAAATATATTGAAAAAACGTACAATGAAGAAATGTAATTACCTTCAAGGAATTTAATGCTTTGATTTGAGAATGCGCAGACTGCATCAGCTTGTTGACAGTCAACTCTGTAAGAGCACGAAATTGTGTATTTCGAGCTGCATAACAAATTGCCCTCGCTCTGTTACTTATTAAGTGATACGCATTCCACATATCAGCATCCATGTCGGTTGTACATTGCTTAAGAGACTAAAAAAAATAAAAATCATGCTTTGTACTTACACTGACTTATACAACAAAGTTACACAATTATATTTTGTCACATGCACATATTTTCAAGACTGCACACTCTTTTTGGCGCACTATTCGTTATTTATTATTTATATTCTAATTTTTTTAAATTAAAGTCAAGCTTATTGTGATATTAAAATTTGCACGAATAAAGCAATCCGAACACTAGAATAACATAGGCGGTACTAGGCAACTGAAACCATAAGCTTTGGGGAGGTCCACTAAAGTAAAGGGAGGGGGAAGTGTGCAGGTTTGAACAAGCATGGAATTTACCCCCTCAAACTGTGAAGGGTTCTGACATTCTGCAGCATAAGCATATCCTGTTCTCGTACTAACAATGTAAGTCAATATTCTTGTCATTAACATAAATGATAAATCGATAAATTTTAATAAATAAACTCTTAAACATACGAGAGCATTAAACACACTGTCTCTCTCTCATTAAAAGCCACAGAGATAAATATAATAAATATAATAAAATACTCTCTCTATTGTATATATATAATTCAATTATTCCTGTATAAATTTTATGAAACGATAGAATATAGAAGATATCGACTTCTCAATAATCGACAAATCGTAATGGAAATAACGAAATCCAGACAGCATAAACATTATTTATCGTAACATTTGATATTTTTATGACATTGACGTTAAAATCGACAATAATATCTGTTTACTATCTAGAAAGGTTTTTTTCGCAAAAACGCCGTGTTTTATGAAGTACGCACCATTTCTTCAGTGCACGGAAACATTTTCCTGCCTTCAACTGCTGATTGGCAGTTAAGGAGATTGACACCCAGTTTTGCTAGATCTTCCTCTGTCATGTCGGAGCATGAGGTTTTAATCTTCATGATGACTTTGTGCTGACAAGTCTCTAATGGGGAAGACACTTGAATATCCGTGAATTTGGAAGCCTCTTGAAGAAATTTCTCATCCTCTGTCATTGACTCATAAGGAATCGAGATCAGAGGTACACCATCGGCAACAAGGACATTCGAATCATCTGTTTTTCTTCCCCACAGCCAGTCCATCATAGATGTGCTACCAATTTTACAATTAAATGACAAGATAAATATTATCAAAAAAAATCTACACTCCATTTTGCATCTGATTTATTGATCTGAAATAAAAATCAAGAACAACTGATTGATTAATCTGAAATAAAAATCAAGAACAACTTGAACTGTTCCAAAATTTACTGTTAATGTTAAAAATCTAATTCATATTAAAATCACTATAATTTTCAGTATTGACATTAAATTTTGGAATCTAAAGTTTTGCATTAACCCTTAATACACACGATTGGGTGATTCGTGTCCTGTACATTTTTTTTCGAAAAACTAAAAGCACAAGTAATTAGAATATTTATATAAAATTCTTTTAATACACAACCTCATACATACTTTCTAAAAATATTAAAGTATATGTAAGAATCACATAATTCTTGCATATTTGTTAAAATAATGAAAATCAATGAATAATCCTTCATGTGTACTAAGAGTACAAAAAAAAATCAATACTAAAATACATAATTACCTAAAAGTTCTAAAACTATCGACGAGCCTTGACAATAATCGAGGTAAATAAATAATGTACGATCATCTGTTCCTGTTGAAGACTGATTACAAAACTGCACCACTAAAAATAGACAGTTGCCCGCTCTGAAACCGTTGTCCACGTCGTGTAGTTTCACTGACAACGCGCCAACGTAGGAAAAATTGCGACAGGTGACTGCGACAGGAGTTCCTCTCGGGACAAGCGAGCGACGGGGTGTTTATACTGTTTATCCGTTTCGCGAATTCAAACGCGATGACAAGTACTTTTCATGTGTTTCGTCCGTGTGATCCAACGGCTGCGCCGTTCAAAATGCGCAAATGGCGGTCAAGGACGAAGTCATCTGCGCGGTTGCGTCCGTCGTATCGTTTTTACTTTTCTCACTCTGGCTTCTCGTCGTGCAACCACCGCGAGATTTGCGCTCTATCCGTTTCGATTCTACCGCGAAAGGAGATCGAAGGGATCTTTGAAGAATTTATGATAAAAACGTTGAAAACCATCGTTGCGTTCCTGCACTTTTGAGACGAGGAATGCCGGAACGGGCCAATCGCGAGCGCAAACCGGCAACAAGTGTTCCACCATGTTCCACCGAACTTTTGAAAGCGACCAATCGTATGGCGCGCGGGCTTGTTGATCGTTCTGAATCAGGATTAGCAAGGAGTCGAGTCGAGAATTCACAAACTATAAACTAAGTACTTTATTTTCCAACGCACAGTTATATCGAAACACACACGAAACGCACTTGTATAGTATATCATATACGATGGTATTTTCAACGATATATTTTGTATCACATCGTAGTCTCCTCTTCATTTCTTCTCCGGTACAACCTCGCTGATGCCATACATACCAGCTAACAAACGCCCGTGGGCTGGAGGTACCGGTTCCTTGGGTGGTAAATATGGTCCTTTCTCACCCATATATACATATCTTTAGAATTTTTTAAGAAAAATTATTGAAAAAAGTTACAAAGATGAGAACTGTTTCTTTTTTGTTATATTACAATATAATTATATTATTATTATTGTAATTGTAAAATATGTAATTATAATATAACTGTTAGAAGTATACTATTATAATGAAAACGTTGAAGAAGTGACTTATATTCATTTTCATTGATGTAGATTAACTATAATATAATCTCGATTTAAGTTACTGTTTATTTTTTTTTCTAATTCTAAGAGTTAAAATTAAAAACAAAAATAAAGAATAAATTAAATCATGATTAAAATTAATCTATAATGAAATGAACTTATGACATGTTAATTTTTTTTTTTAACTTACTTTTTATCCTTATCTAATGTTTAAAACTAGAAAAAGATAAAAAGTAAGTTAAACTAAGATTAGAATTAAACTGCGTTTATAAAAACGAGCATTAATTCTGAGAACTAGAAAAAGGGTACATTAATCTACATTAATAGAATCAGGTATTAGCCTTGCATTACATCAGCATTTAAAATATGTATACGAAGTATACATATTTTATTATACGAAAAAGATACGGCAATCTCAAGATCCAATATGCACTCTGGGAAAGCTTAATCGGTTCCTCACATCCAGTGACGAATATCGGGCAAGGTGGAGGACCAGGTTGAACCCGAGGATTCAACGTGACGTGCACTGGCGCTTTAGGCGTTACTACATGAATTCTCATCAGCTGAGCGATTAAAGGTTTAGTTTGCCTAAAAAAGGATGAAAAGAAAAAAAAAATGTACTTCTGCGTTAAACGGGTTCACATATATGAATCATATCTTCATTAAACCGAATACGATTGGGTTCTACGAACCTGCAAGGGCAAGGAAAGTACAGAGGCATATCAGCGGTGCTGGACGTCACCTTGTTTCCACTGTCTTTCACTATGCCGTTTCCAGTCGCTTTTAGTACCTTATCGGGCGCAGACGCCATAAAGCGATGTCCACGCGGACACTCGTACTCCACCCCGACAAATATTTTCACCACGAATTCTTTGCCTCCTTTCGATTTACGACCACGTATGGCGTTCATATTCTGGAAGTTCTTGCCTCCTCGTGGGCAGTAACCTCCGTGATCGCCCACTAGTGGCCACAGTGGATTTCGTTCTTTCTGATGCTCCAGTCTGTAATGGATATTTATTTTTCTTATCCCCGTTTCCATCAATATAAATTAATTTTAATATCGGTTCGACTTATTCTTCATGTTTTTCTAATCCTTAGAACCAGAAAAAGATAAAGAGAGAGTAAGTTAAATCAGATTAAACTTAATCTATATTGGTAGAAACGAATATTAGAAAATTTTTCTGTAAAGAACCGATATACGTAGAAACTACAAAACTTTCTTCTCACCTAACAGTCACGTCCCATGGTAGTAAAAACGCGGAGGTAGGGAATACTCCGATCTGATGCTGCAATCCCAAATTATGAGAGTAAAGACTACTCGGTCCAAGGCATACCAGAGACCAACTAGAGAATTGCGGCAACAAGCCGGCCGGTGATTCGGTGTGTAACATCCCAGGTAGGTATTCTGTCGTGGATGGTTGTCTAACCAAAGATTTGTCTGTAAAACGCATATATCAGTATAAATTTCTAATTAAAACTTTGAATTCATCCCAAGAATAACAGATCACAATAACGTTAGAATGACGTTAAAATGAATCGTAATTAATTAAAAAAATGACTTTTAGTAATTATTTCAGAGCCATTTTGATGTCACGATGACTTGTGTTCTGCTTGGGATACTTCTGTAGCGATGAAACACCTTTAGAGTTTTCTGCATCGCTGTCAGTGACTTCTATAACAACTTTGTGCGAGTCGCTCGGCGTCAGACTTGTTTTATTGCTTAATCTCGGAATATCTCCTTCTATCGGGTCGCTCGTTGCTGACGATTGACCACCGCTACCATAATCTGTATTTTCATCTGCAATATTTCTAGATATTATACACTCGATAAAAAAATGTTCCTTTTATCGACGCTATTACTTGCCATTCAAAGTATCGGTTCCTAAACTACAAGCTTGCGTGTCTTGTGGTGTGGAAGATCCGTTGCGACTGAAGGAGTCATGACGTTTCGTTGCTGAAAATAACTGCGCTGCTCTGTAGATGAAGAAAAACAAGAAAGTAGATCAATACTATCAGGAAGAAATCTCTTACAGCACGAATGCTGTACCTATAGTTATGTGTGCTGGGTTGAAACACGGGGAATTGTATGCTTTCTAGTTGTGCGCAACCACATTGTTTCGCTAACATTTGAAAATAGTCGTGATTCGCCTGTCTCAGACTGAAGGGATCTTCTCTCGAGCCTTGGACCCTGCCGCAATTGCAAGCGCACACATATCTCACGCCACTGCAATGCTCTCTAACAGGTAATTCACTGCGGATAAAAATAAAGGCAATTAGTATAGTGAATATAATGCACATATGAATATGTAATAATTTATTATAAGAAAGCACATGCCTGTCGTCCTCTCTAGGCTCGGTTTGTTCTCCACCTCCCGCACCTTCGCTACCTCCTCTGTGAATGGGATTCGTACAAGGATGACCGGTGAGTGATAACACTTCGCACATTTGTCGACCTGCTCGCCAATGCTTGTCACATTCAGCTTGTAATTTCTCACTAAATTCCTCAAACAATGGACCGCGGGCATGCATTTCAAAGACTGCCATTGCATGTGCTAACTTCGATTCGTGATACGCTCTAAAAAGTAAAAAAAGTTTTTGGGACGTGATGTAGCTATCGCGATCATCTCAAACAACTTTACCTTGTATAATGCTGTGGCAAGTTCTCTTGATATGCTTGTAAAGCTCTCGGAAGTACTTTGCTGCATCGGCTTTTACTAAATTTCACATCAGTATCTAATAAATTGTGAAGCGTCAACAATTCTTTATCTGTTCCGTGAATAAAATAATCGAAAACTTTGTTTGCTACTTGACAAAATATGTTTAAAGTAGGTATCTGAAAAGTGTCACTCGGCTTTTATTTATTTTATTGTAAAATATTGTTTTAATATTATTATTATTTAAGAAATATTAATAATATAATATTTAATAAATATCATATTCAGTATTATATATATAGCATTAAATTAACTATTTATTTTATAATTATATACCTCAAAATGGGCCGGTATAGAGTGTCGGCTGACATTATCATCGAATCCTCTTGCAAAAGCCAAATGTATATGTTGTTGTATAAATGATCTAAACATGTGAATCTCTGTAAATACAGAGAATTATATTTTATTTATATATATCAAGAATTATGTTTTACTTATATATATTATATCATTCATTATTTCCACGTCCACTTATTTTATCATCATCAATTTACTGAATTTACCAGATTCGGTGTCATCCACTATGATAGGGTTTGAATCCAGATTACTGAGGCTTCTCAATGTTGTGCCACTGGAACTGGTTTTACAACTTTGTATTAACTTTCTCGCCATGTATCCCAACATGTCCCTTGAGTCTGTATTTCCGGTATGCACATACACGAATTCCTGATTAGCTGGTATCGCAAACAGGGAATTTGAGCTATCAACAAAGAAAGTGATTTCAATGTTTAGTTGAATTTGTTTTAGGCCACCTGACTTGATTGCATCAATATTAACTTTAAGCAAAGCTTAAAACACACTCACACATACTCTCTCTCTCTCTCTCTCTCTCTCTCTCTCTCTCTCTCTCTCTCTCTCTCTCTCTCTCTCTCTC